CAAATGAGGCAAATATGTATCACGGTTGAAGTTTGAATCTAGATGATGAATTGACAGTAACTACTCTTTCTACATTTCGTAGACTGGAAAATGTTCATCATAAAAAGGTACAAAAGAACTTCACCAGATTTACCATCCATTTTCTATTCCACTTGTGGTGGCCCAGGCATGCCTTTTGCTTTCTGGTATACAGTTCTTTTGTCTTTGTCTTTGTTTTTTGAGACAGAGTCTTGCTCTGTCACACAGGCTGGAGTGCAGTGGTGCAGTCACTGCAGTCTTGACCTCCTGGGTTCAAGTGATCCTCCCATCTCAGCCCCCACCAAGTAGCTGGGACTACAGGCGTGTGCCACCATGCCCAGCTAACTTTTTGTTCTTTATAGAAACATGGATCTCACTATGTTTCCCAGCTTGGTCTCGAACTCCTGGGCTCAAGCCATCCTCTGACCTCAGTCTCCCAAAGTATTGGGATTATAGGTGTGAGCCATAGCACTTGGCCTCACACAGCTCTTTGTATTAGCTCCGGGTGTCCCCAAGACACATGCTTTTCCCACTCTTCTCTCTTCTCCCAAATGGAAGGGATATTCCCATTTGGTCCCAGAGGGGAGTCAACCTGAACAGTTGTAGCTGGCACTAGTCTCTCTCTTCTTCACCCTCAATGTCACAGATCACCCTACACCTGGTTCCATCATCATCATCTCCCATCATAAAATTTTTAAGCATGGCTGGGGCGGTGGCTCATGCCTGTAATCCCAGCACTTTGGAAGGCCGAGGCGAGACTATCCTGGCCAACATGGGGAAACCCTGTCTCTACTAAAAATACAAAAATTAGCTAGGTATGGTGGCACATGCCTGTAATCCCAGCTACTCAGGAGGCTGAGGCAGGAGAATCGCTTGAACCAGGGAGTCAGAGGTTGTGGTGAGCCGTGATCATGCCAGTGCACTCCAGCCTGGTGACAGAGTGAGATTCCATCTAAAAAAAAAAAAAAAAAAAAAATTTAAGCACTTATTAGGCCCTAAATACTGAGCCAAGGGCTTTCCATCCATCCACTGTTTAATTATTAAGACAACTCTCTGAAGTAGGTGCCACCTACAAATACATACCTGTGAGTCAGTTCCATTTACAAATGAGGAAACTGAGCCTAATAGAGGTTACAAACCTTACTCAAGGTCACATACGTAGAGTGTGGCTGAGATGGGATTTGTTGCCGCAGCCCTGTCTGATTCCAGAACTCTTATCCTCTTCTCCACACTCCCTTCGTTGTCTTGCTAGTGACTTCCACAGAAGTTTTGTTTTCATGTTACTACCTGTCTTTTTGCTGTTATTTACCTTATGCTCTACTAATGCCTCCTCTGCACAGTGAGTGCATGCTTTTTTAAAGGGAAACTTTGCCTTGCTTTTCTTTACATCTCCCAGGATATCAGCACAGTGCTGGGGAATTGCTTGGCTGGATCCACCTAATTCTCTCAACTTCAAGATGCAGTAGAGGAACCTCCAGCATCTATTTCATCTCCCAGTCCCTCCTGAGTCAGGGTGGACTAGCACAGTCTGCATGCATTGCCTTCCTTTCCCTTTCCCATCTGTACCACATTACCTGACCCCATTCCAGTCCATCCCAAAGATATGAAAGGAAACTCCCACTAGTGGGCACTTCTGCTGGGCTGTCTACATCCCTCTCCCTGGTGCCCTCTTGCCCAGCCTGCTTACCCACTCTCCTTACCTGCACCAGCAGCAGCAGGAGCAGCAGCAGGAGCCACCAGGGCCACCCCCCGAGCCCTGCCCCCTCCACTCTATCTGCCACCTAGATGTGTTGTCTGCCGGCTGGCCCAGGGCCTCTTCTACTTGCTACAGGATGTTGCCCCACATACATGGTCACCATCTCCCCACGAGGCTGGGCAGTTACTTTACAGTTGAGAAACCTTGGAGGAAATGTGACTGGGGGAACAGCTCAGGAAAATGCAGAAGAGAGGCAGGCTAACCACCCTTGTGACAGCTTCCTTCCTGCCATCATGATGTCACAGTCCTGATAGGAACACTCAGTTGCTTCCCTTTTTGCACCATGGTGAGTCTAGACCCACCCACCCGAGGTCCCCACTGCGTCACTCACCCCCTCAGGCCACCAACCTCCTCATCACTGACCACTGACCCCTATAACCCACAAGCCTGCACCCCAGTCTGCCTGTGAAATGGTACTGTGCAAACAAATACTGTTCACCCCGCAAGGCTGGGTTCAAGCCTTTCTGCTGAAGCCGCCCTCTTTAATATCAGCCTGCCCCATGGTTCCCAAGCACAGGCACGTGGCTTTACTCAGGAAGTGTAGCACACGTACACACCCAGGCTCCACCCCCAGACATTCTGACTTGGCAGATCTGCGAAGGGGCCCAGGCATCTGTATTTTAACAACAGCTTAGGTGGTTCTGAGGCAAAGAGTCCAAGCTGACCAGGTCTGCAAGAGCTGTGTATAGGTAAGATGGGCCCTGCAGCATGTCTCGGGGGCTCAGGGTCTTTGCCTGAGTACCAGGTATGGGCTTCCCTGAGCTACCCTGTCCAGGCACAGGCATGGAGACCACAGTCATAACAGTAATAGCAGTAACCACCATGGATTGAAGTCCTACTGTGTGCCAGGTGCTTTACTCAGGCATCTCCTTGGATCCTGTCAACATTGGGAGCTGGTATAATGGAGGCGTGTCATCTTGTGACTCTCCAGCGCCAAACACCTTTTTCTTTTGGGGGTACAGACTCCAATGTGTGAGTTTCACACAGATGCAGAGCCCTGCTTCCCCTTCTATTGAGGACGGAAGCAGCTATTCCTCCCACCCTTCTCCCGGCAGCTATGCTGCAGGCACGTGACTTGACCCAAGCCTGGCCACATGCATGATTCTGCCCAGGACCCCAGATCTGCAGATGAGACACAAATGCAGAGCCAGTTGGAGATGACTTACTCAGAGGCAATTTTAGGATTCAGAGTCTAGGAATAGCATGGTGGCCTCCAGTGTCCGGGGCAGTGGCATTGATGGCAACATGGCCAGACTGTCTCGTGTGGCCTCTGCTGTCCATTCTCTCTTGGCTTCTGCCCATTTTCCAAACCCAATCCCCCAGCCTCTCATCAACTCTGAGTTACTGATATCCCTCTAGAATTCCCTTGCTGTTTTAGATAGCCAGAGTTGGATTCTGTTGTTAGCGTCCAGAATCATCACTGGCATGGTTAGGCACCATCATGCCCATTAAGGCAAGGAGGAATATTGAGGCTCAGAAGGTTAACTGAGTCACCCAGGATCAGACACCCTGCAAGGATGCAGAGCAGGGATTCAAACCCAGATATTGTTTTCCTCCAAGGTCTGTGTCATTAACCACACAACACTATTGTATCAGTCAAGGTAACAGCAAGACACCGGTGGCTCATTGAAACTGGGTAATTGAAGAGTATTTAATAAACATGTGCATAGAATTTAGGGAATGCAGTAAGGGGTGCTTCAGTATGCTGAGGCTGGCAACAGTGGTGGGCCGTTCCCACCACTGGGCCTACAGAGGAGAAGATGGAGCAGGTGGCTGGACTCAGAGATGGGAACTGTTTGGTGAGGGGCTTGAAGGAGCCTTCAGAGAGGAAGGCAGCCACTCCTGCCACCACCTCCCAGGGAGAGAGCCCTGAGGACAGAAACCCTGATCTGACTCTCTCCCCACCCTTGGCTCTCCTTTCATGTTTCCCATTGGTTCAACCAGCCAGAAACTGGCAGCCAAGGAGCCTGCTGGTTTAGCCACATTGGTCAGGTTCCCAGGCAGGATGGGGAGGATGGAGCGTGGCGTGGCCTGTAAGTGCAAATGGGAGAGTATCCAGTATGGCCATTTGTCTTCCAATTTAATGCATATAGTATTTCAGGCACGTTTGATATGTTGGACTTAAATAACACTTGATCTATAATAAGTTAAGCACACAGGCATGCACTGGACCGTGCACTGGGTTACATCTGGATGAATCTCTAGGAATGTGTCATGGGCTTTCGTAAGGATTGTAATGACTTCTTGGAAACAAGCTTGAGATTCACTAAGAGGGAGCTGTATACTAGGATACAGAAGGTCTGCAGGGGCCCTGGACTCTAAGCATTTGCTTTATGCTCCAGGAGAATCTGATGCAGGTGGTCTAAAGACCTCTGAGAAACACTGCCCTCGTGTGTTCCGCCTCTCCTGGAGTGCATTTAATGATAATACTCCCTTGCCCTGGCACTTTGTCAACCTCATAAACAGGAGCAACAATGGGATTGCTAAAGTGCAGGTTCCAGACCAGCAAGCTCAGCATACAAACACTGCATCCTGCACAGTCACTGCCTCTGAGCTGCTTGATTCTTTTAGGTAAGAAAATAAATGCAGAGATTAACAGCTTCCGGATCTAGTGCCTCTGCAAAGATTGTCACCAGAGCATCAGGATGAAATAAATGCCCCCCACACATCTTCTAATGGGCCCAAAATTGGGGTTCAGAAATCATCTCTCTAGGGTCATTACCGTTACCTGGGCAGGTTCTGACAGAGCAGCGTTCAGAGGAATGGGGAAGTCCCTATGTGATGGGGCAGGCTGGGAGCTGGACCTCCACGTGCAGAGAATTGTTTCCACAGGAGTGGAGCTCATTGTGAAAATACATTTACCTGACATGAGACACACTGTATGTGTAGAAAAGTGTGATTGCTCTTGGGAATTGAGGATAATATCTGCCCTGGACATCACTAAATTGGGCTGGAAGGACCCACCATCCTTTCCCCATCCATGAGGCCCGTTTCCCTTAAAGGGAATCTCGAACGGTGGGAAATAACAAAATCCTGATTGAAATCTGTGGGAGATTGCAAGAAAATCTCCCACAGAGATTTTCTCCGTGGTGGCCTGAACACCTGCCTACTTCACAGAGGAGGGCACTGGAGAGAGCATGGAAACTGAAGCAGGTGCTCCAGGAGCAGACTGAGAGAGGAGGAGGAGGGCAGAGTGGGGAACTAGACGAGCACATGGGGACAGCCTCCAGAAGCTTCCCCGGTGGAGAGAGCTTTTACCCCACCATCCCTGCCCCTTGTGTGATACAGGAAAGAGGCGTTTAGACACAGGCAGAACTCCTGGTCATTCTATTCCATATGGCTTTGGGGTCCTTCAGGTAAGGAGCTCTTCAGTTTTCACTCCTGCCAGTGGGCGGTGACTTACTCATGTGGCCTCGTTCCAGTCACATACATTTCTGCCTTCATGGGGCTATTTTCAGGCTCCAGCGATAAATGCACACAAGATGTCTGACACTGTCCATTGATGCTCTCCTATGGATCCCATCTCAGCCTGCCAGTATTTCCTCAGGACAAGATACTCAGTTTAACTCTTTTCTCTGAGAAGGATGCACTTCCTCACCATGATGTCTTATTTCTCCACGCTCCACAATCTTCAACACCCTTTTCTGGGAGTGTTGGAAAGAACCACATATAAGCATGAAACCCAAGTGTCTGATGCTAGAAAGAGGAAGTCCCAGCATAGGGCGAGCAGGATGCTTCTGTAGTGGGAGCTCTGTCCAGGTCAGGCCAAAATTGTATGGTCCAGGGCAAAACTGAGCAGAAGTATCAGGTGTGCCTTCTGCACGTCACAGCCCCCACAAGAGAATTACAGTGAAAAACATTGACCTGTCTGTACTTCATGCAAACCCCAAGTGGCTGGTGGAATGAAGGACCAGGCATGTTTGGGGCTGTAACTTCTTTTCTGAGGCGGAAATGCCCACCCAAGGTTATTAGAGAAATGAGGGCAGTGAGCAGGAAGGTGAGACGCTGACTTTAGAAGTACCCTGTGATTACAGATTTAATTCATGTTATTAACTCCCCGCCTTTTACCTCCTCCCTCCTCCCTTGGCACAACTGCCAGATGGATATGGCTGGAAGTCAGAGGACGTTCTCGTGGGTTTGTGGGTCTAGGGTCCAAATGACCTCAGCGTGACAGCAAACAGGACAGAGAAGACCAGGCTCTTACTCAGGAATCCACCAGCCACGATAATGACAATATTGAACACAGGAACCCTGCGGGAGAGAGGAGACTGAACGCTACTGCTGGCAAAGGCTCCCCCACATGCACGTGTTCCCTCTAGAAAATGCCTTCATGTCCCACTCCCCTCTGCTTAGGTCCATGCTGCACCTTTCCCACACTGCCTGACCCTGTGCTTTTCGGTCTGTCTCACTGCCAAAAACTACTGATTAGAAATAATTCAGTGGAGAGTATAGGTCCCTGTCCAGGAGAGGCACTGTTGGGAGACTGTCAGGCTGATCAGCCCATCCTCCTCCTTGTGATGTGGTAGGGAGAGGGAACCCCAGCTAGGAAACCCGCTCTCTAGTCTCAGCACCATCCCCTGCCTACTGGGATAGTCATCTCACCTCTTTAGCTCAGTTTCCTCACCTATAAACCGAGAAGAATCCAACCCTAGTGAAAATCTCATCATGAATTTTATAGATTTTGGTGAAATTATTTTAAGGGTTCTGGGTAAACATCAATAGGTATCATAATAAAAAGATGCAAAGGAGTGAGGGCACTTGACCAGTTCCATCAGCAGACATGCAAGCAGATGAGAGCACAAGGATGTGGCATGGTAAGAAACAGGGACAGACAGATGGCAATGGAACAAAAAGGCCAGATGCAGAGCCAGTGCCATGTGGGAACGTAACGTCTAAGGAAATCAGAGGTCCAGTGGATAAGCCGGATATGGTAGCATGCACCCATGGTCCCAGCTACTTGGAGAGGCAGGAGGATCATTTAGTAAATAGTCTTGCAGTATCTGGACAGCAACATGATAATGGAGTAGCCTTTTCTACAGTTTACAGCATGTGGCAGAATAAATCTTCTCCCTGGATTAAACATTTAAATAAAATTAAAAAACAATCCAAGAAAAGTCACCAGGAAATAGAATAAGACACATTAAGGAATAAAGCAAAGCAACTGATTTAAAATCAACACATCCACGTATACAAAACTTAAAACCACATGCACAAACTAGCAAAGAGGAAAACAGCATAAAGGAGCTAAAAAGCAGAAAACTGCCTATTTGCCCGAAATCCACCCCCAGTCAAGGGCCCTGACTTGTAGCACAGGGGACTACATTCTCAAGGCTGCCTGGTCAAGTTCAGCAACTGGTAGCGGACAGGAGGCAGAGACGGGGGCAGGGATGGGGCAGAGAGACAGGCAGCAAGGCACAGGGAGCCAGCATCTCTCTCACCCCTCACATGATTGTGGCCCACTCAGCATCCTCAGCATCTGCCCTGACTCAGGTGCTGCAACCTGAATGTCCTGGCTTCTGGGCCCTGCTCACTGCACCTCCTCTCCAAGTCCCTCCTGTGAGTGCTCTGCCTTATCCACTCTGAGTGCTGTACCATTTTCCTAGGCTGAACTCGCGGGGCATGTCCACTCCCAACAGGCCACCACCTGCATTTCTTTCGAGGCTGCACACAAGCTACTAACCCCCTGAAGGCCCAGGAATTCATGTGTTTGGCCTTGGTTAGAGCTGCCCTTGCTCAGTTACTGCCCCTTACAGGGACAACTCCAAATGTGACTCAGGAGTCCCCAGAGCTCCTTTACAAGACTGAGCCAGAGTTATCCTGTGAGATACTCCTTGGTTATGACAACCGTGCTTGCCTTCCTTCCCTTCCTGGTCCCACTTCCTCAATGGCTTTGCCAGAAATCACTTCCTAAAACATTTTTTTTTTTGTCATTTTTTTTTTAGAGAGAGAGAGCAGGATCTTGCTCTGTTGCCCAGGCTGGAGTACAATGGCTTGATCACAGCTCACTGAAACCTCGATCTTCCAGGCTCAAGTGATCCTCCTGCCTCAGCCTCCCAAGTAGCTGGGACCATGGGTGCATGCCACCATGCCCTGCCAATTTTTTCATTTTTGTGTAAAGACAGGGTCTTGCTAAGTTGCCCAGGCTAATCTCAAATTCCTGGGCTCAAGTGATGCTCCCACCTCAGCCTCCCAAAGTCCTGGGATTATAAATGTGAGCCACGATGCCTAGTCCTAAAACATTTTAACAAGACTTTATGGCTTGCTTCTGGGGAATCTACCTAGAGATAAGGTGATAGTGGCTACATCTGCAGTGCCTCTCTATCCCCAAATTAGTGTCTCAGCTCTTCCATCACCTGGGCAAACAATTCCCTGCATTAAATTCCTTCTTTTCCTGGCTAGATGTGGTGGTTCACACTTGTAATCCCAGCACTTTGGGAGGCCGAGGTGGGAGGATCACTTGATCCCAAGAATTCGAGATCAGCCTGGGTAACACAGGGAGATCCCCATCTCTACAAAAACAATAAAAAGTATTAGCTGTCCTGATGGTATGCATCTGTGGTCCCAGCTACTTGGGAGGCAAAGGTGGGAGGAGGTTGAGGCTACAGTGAGCCATGATTGCGCCACTCCACTCCAGCCTGGTTGACAGAGTGAGACCCTGTCTCAAACAAAAAAAAAGAATGAAGGGAAGGGAAGGGGAGGGGAGGGGAGGGGAGGGGAGGGAAGGGAAGGTAAAGGAAAGGAAGGGAAAGAAAAAAAAGCTTCTTCTTTTCAAACAGCTAGAGTGGATTCCAGACTGGACTTTTGCTGAAAGGATAGTTCATATTAGACGATAAAGTTAACAGGTAAAAGAGAGATGCAGTCTCTAGTAGCGAGGCAGGAGAATAGGGTCTGGAGAGAGAAACATAAGGCCAATTCATGCTGAATCAAGGAGCAACACCAAGGTCTGGGATCAAGGAATCTAGAACAGATTCGTGCTGATTTCCCAAAACTGGATCAAAAGGAAAACTCCTGGTGCTGGGGTCAGGGAACCTAAGGCCAATTAACACAAATTTTCTAAAGCTAAACCAAAAGGAAAAACCCCATCTCCCCATTCCCCAGCAGCAAAGGATCAAAGGCTACTCTCCCCACAGCCTTCCCCCTTCCACCACGTCTCAGATGGAAAGGGAGAGTGCCTTGGATTGGTCATGTGCCAATCACAAACGACCATCTCTTTATCCGCAGAGGGCGCCAATTCACCTCAGCCTTTAGGTAGCCACAAACCAAATGCTTTATACAGATAATGGTAACTGAGAGGAACCTCACGTGGAGTACTTAAAACCCAGAAAACTTTGTAACCTGGCCCTTGAGCCGCTTGCTCGGGGCCACTTCTATCCTGGGGAGCACTTTCTCGCTTAAATTCCTGCTTTCACTGCTTCATTCCTTTGTTACTCTGTGCATCTTGTCCAATTCTTTGTTTAAAAGGCTCAGAACCTGGACAGCTTACACTTAAGGCCCTCCTTCCCGTAAAAGTAGGAATATGGGCAAAGGTCACGTACTCTTCACTTACATATTGCAAAATGAAAGTAGAGAAAAAAGAATTGACTCCTAGTGGATCGTTCGTTTGATTTATTCCACAAAGGTTTAATGAACACTCTGTTCCCCAAACAATGTAATGGAAAAAAAGGCACTGCTACTACCCATATGGAGGTGGAGTCTACACTCATAGAGAAATTAGGGCAGGCACCAGTTCACATTCATTTTAGCAGGAATGTGATTTAACTCACACTATTTAATGATTTAAAAGACTAAATCCATGTCTGTAAGCCTGCAGTGACACTGCTTTATTTATGCATAATGAATCACACTGCAAATTGTTTCCAATCTTTTGGAAGACCATTGGTAGATGCTATTTGTATACAAAATGATATCAGTGTTTAAATTATCTCTTGGAAATTTCATTTGAGTTAATTATTTAAAAGAAGAAAAATACATCTGCAAGAAAATGTTTATCTCAGAGTTATCAACACTATATCAATGTCTAAGAACAGGCCAATGATTATGTAAGTTATGGCTTTCACAATTGATAGAAAAATATGCACTTATTGAAATTATATTTATGGAATTTAGGTAGCAGCATCAAAGAATAATTTCAGCACGGAAAAGAAAAAAAACAGGTATAATTAGACCTACTGCCATATTAAAATATGTATAAACATAAATAAAGACTAGAAGAGAATATGAGAAAAAAGCCATGTTAGACTAGTGGTAATGTGAAAGAATATTTCCTCCCTGATATTTCAATATTTAATGATAAACACATTCTAATATAAATCAACATGTAATAACTGTAAAGAAGAGTGAAATTGCTAAGTTAGTGGTTCTTAAGTTTGCCTACACATTAGAAGTCTCCTAAAGATCTTATTAAAAATACTGAGATGGACCTCATCTGCAAAAATTCTAATTCTATTGATCTATAATTGGACACCTGCAACAATATTATTTAAAAAACAATAAGGCAAAAACCAATACTGCATTTAGCCCCAGCGCCAGCTCCTGCTGAGAGCTGTTAGGTGGACAATGTCTTCCAGCTCTGGGTTTCTAGCATGCCTACTGAACTGTCAAGGAAGCTAAAGCCAGAGAGGGTTCCTGACTCACCCAGAGTCACAGTTAGTCAGGCCGACACTAGATCCAGGGTCCCTCACTCAGAGTGCTTTCCCACTACCCATCAGACCCCTGGGGTTGGATGAGCTCCATTGGAATTTGGGGAAGATGCCATTTCCTTCTCCTTAATACTCAGGTTGCAAGGAAACAAAGAAGGTGAACTGGGGAGAAGGACAGCCTGGCTGAGAGCCTCCCCTATTCTCCATCACCACTTCCTTCTTCCCCTGGACATTTCTACCCAGACTAACGTGACTCAAGTCTGCTCCTGCCCCACCCTCCCCTTTCCCTCACTTTCACATCCTCTCAGCACACGGACTGGGGAAAAAGGGCTCAGTGTCCAAACCAGAGGCCCAGGGCCTGAAAACCATACCTGATGATATCTGTCACATTTGTAAGGTTGATTTCAGAGCCAGGAGTGGAGACAACGACAGTTGACTCGGGTGGAGCTTGGGTCACGGTTCTGGGGCTGGTATAGCGTGGGCCCAAGGCCTTAGCAGTGGTAGGAGGAATCCTATACACATTCTGGGTAGAATTCTCACTGGAACCAGGGGTACCTGAAGAACCTGCAAGAAGACACATTGGATGGATGGGTGGACAGATGAATGATGAAGGGGTGGATGGGTGGGTGAATGGATGTATGGATGAAAAGGTGGATGAGTTGATGGACGGGTAGGTGGTATGGTAAATGAAGCTGAGGAGGGAAATAAGCATGGCCCAAATGCAAAGTTTTCTTTTGCTAAAACCAAAGAAATACTGTGGAGTCAACCTGAGTCAGAGATTGAAAAAAGGAAAGAAGAAAAAAAGGGCAGGAAGTGAGGGAGAGCAGTAAGAGAGAAGAAGAAAGGAATTTTTTGCCATTCGTATTGTTGGAAATGCACTTGCCTTCTGTTCTTCACCAGTTCATGTGCCCCCACCTTCTCCAAGAATAATTCCAGGCTTACTTGATTCACTCTGCCTTTCATTCACCTGGCTGATGGCATATTGCTTTAAAAGTTATCTTTTATTAATATATTATGTATGCACCTTGTCTTCCTCAGGCTTAGAATTCCCCAGGTTCTGGGAACTTGAACCTGCCTCCCTTTCCTCTGTCTTCTATAATTCATTCCTTAATGTAACATCTACTGAGAGCCTACTTTGTGTCAGAAACTACATTATTTGCTAAGGGTGCAGAACCCAGGAAGGCACAGGTGCTTCCCGCAAGCAGTTCTGAAATTAATAGGGGACAGGTAAGTAAACCGGCCTCTCCTATCCAGTGAGATAGAGTTGTGTATGAGCTCTGGAGACTTGCTCCCCGAAAATGGGAGCCATGGACTATCAGCACTGGCATCACCTGGGAGATCAATAGAGATGCAGACTCTTGGGTCCCACCCTGTACCTATTCAGCTGGAGTCTGCATTGGAAATAAGATCTCCAGGTGGTCTGTGCCCACAGAAAGATCTGAGAGGGGCTGCTTCAGAGGTACACAGGCATGCCACCAAATGCATCCTTGGGAGGGGGAGTCAGGACATGACTTCTAAGTGGAGAACAAAGAATGGGACTAAATTATCCCAAATCTACCACTCACCTTAATTGTACCCCAATTCCTACCACAGCACCCCAAATTAGGCTCTGCTATCCAAGGAGAATCTCATACATGGAAGGTTCTACTTACTATTGGACCTCAGATGAGAGACAAGGAGCTTCTGGGAGGAAGACAGCCTGCTAGGAATCCTGAACCCCAGCTCTGCTGATGCTGCCACCACCGTCCCTTTCCTCACCTGGCCTTCCTGTCCCCACCAATCCCAGGCCACTCACCCTTGGTCACCACCAAGCGGATGGGATTAAACAGCATGTGAGATTCCTTGGGAGGCTGGTAGATCACACACTGATACAGTCCAGAGTCTTCCACTTGAAGGTTGGTCATTCGGACCTGCAGTAAACCATGATCAGGGTAGTCTTCTAGTGTGATCCTCCCAACTTGGACTGGATGGGAATTCTCTGAAGGCCTCTCTGTTTTTGCCAGGATCTTGGGCATCTTTCCCTCCATTTTCTGCCAAGCTTTCCTGCTGTTGGCATACTTCTGTAGTGCGTAGTCACATTTTACCTCCAGGGTCTGCCCCTCTTTGTATTCATACTTTTCCTCAGTTAATTCAGTTGCAGCTCGGAGTTCTATAAGCAGGGAAAGAGAATTGGGTTCTGTGAGGAATTATTTTTCTCTCTCTGGGTGGGGAAAAAGGAGAGGAGCCCCCTGTTTTTCTTGTCCAAACACCCATATTTCAGACAAGGTTCTTGAGGCCTCCAGAGAAAATACAACTTGCCCTGCAAGCCAGCACTAGACCTCAGCTCTTTCCACTGTGAGTAGGTTTTTTACTATAAGAGTGAGACTTCATATGGTGCATGAGGATCAAATTTCATAAATGATCACAGGAAGACTGACTTTGAGAGGAAGAAACTGCCCAACTGGAGACAGAACATGGGACATTGTGCTAAGACCACAAGTGGCTGCAGCGTGGTGGGAGGGAACAATTACAAGGGTGTACGACATAAAAAGTGAATGCAAAGACACAGTGCTAGAAGAGAGTGGCTCCAAGGACAGCTTGAGGAACTTCACCTAAGTCAGGGCAAGGACATCAGTTCAAAAGACCTTTGGACAAACAGTGAGGAAGCCGTCTGGAGGGCATGATGGGCATGGATATCTGACTGCCTGGCACTCCTTTCTCCTTTTGGGTAGCAGAGCACCCCTTTCCAAGGGAACGATCCTGTGTGGCTCTACTGTTGGGGCTGCCCACATTCTCAAGGATGGGCACAGGACACAGGCTTTGCCAATCCAAGTACCCCATCTTGGGGTCAGGTGCGGTAGCTCACGCTTGTAATCCCACACTTTGGGAGGATGAGGAGGTCAGATCACCTGAGGTCAGGAGTTTGAGACCAGCCTGGCCAACATGGTGAAACCCCGCCTCTACTAAAAATACAAAAAATTAGCCAGGCATGCTGGTGCACACCTGTAGTCCCAGATATATGGGAGGCTGAGGTGGGAGAATCACTTGAACCCAGGAGGAGGAGGTTACAGTGAGCCGAGATCACAACACTGCACTCCAGCCTGGGCCTTGCCAGGCTGATTGGTTTAGGAAGGAGCACATGGCTGAGCTGGACCAATCAGAATCCTCCCTGAGACTGCTGTAGCCATTAAGAGAAATGCTTCTTGCTAGGATTCACAGGTCAGTGAGATGTGAAACTTTATTATGTGAAACTTTCTTCCATGTGGGAATAGGCTGCCTGAGAATGGCTAAACAGGCAGAAAGTGAGTGAGAGGAAGGGAGAGAGGGGAGAGTGGAGGGAAGAGAGAGAAAGAGAGAAAAAAAAAAAAACAACCCATGTTATCTGAGTCATGGACTCAGCTGTGCTCCAGAGGAGCACCCCTTGTACTTTCCAGTTACCTGAGCCAAGAAATGTCCCCTCCTATTTTTGATGTCACGGAGTCACAGCAGTGGTTCTCCACTGGGGAGCAATTTTTGCTCCCTGCCACAACTCTCCCTGAAACCCTGGACAATATCTAGACATTTTTGGTTGTTATAACCAGGGAGAGAGGTGGGTGCTACTAACATCTAGTGGATACTACATCTAAGCATCCTACAGTGCACAGGACAGCCCCCACGACAAAGAATCATCCCACCCCAAATGTCAATAGTGCCAGGTTTGAGAACCCCTGGGTTACAGTGACAATGGTTTCCACCACATTCTTGGAGGCTGAACCGGGTTAACCATCTAGAATTGGGAATGCTCATCTGGCCTTGTCCAAGGGAGCCTTGCTGATGGGAGGCCAAGCAGAGCAGAAGTTAGAAGACCAAGGTCCGTGTTTCAGCTGGACACCCGGGGCTCTCTAAGTTGCTGAGAAACTGTAGCTTACGCACTCAGGCCTAGGGTACCTTCCCCCATGGAGCACCAAATAACAGGCTGGACAGTGCTGCTGGGTTTACTGTGAGAGTCAAGGTAACACTAGTACTGCTGTTATTAATACCACACACTTAGGTCCTTGCAAACCTGGTGAAAAATGACAAGCACTGCCCCTTTCACGGAGCCCCCTGGCACGCCCATCCCAGGATAGGCCAACAGATCTGCCTGACCTTAGGAAGACTCCACTCAGGGACTCACAAGGATTTTAAAGGTGAAACCAGTCTTGAAAGCCAGTTCTTCTGGGAGCAGACTCCAGTTTCTAAGGAAACCTTGCAAACAGGCCTCCTGGGCAACTCCCACAAACTCCGGTCAGGAGTGCCCCTCCAAGAGGCAGCTGAGCAGAGGCTGAGTGTTGTCTGAAACCAAGCCTGGTTCCCTCATTTGTTCACTCACTCATCAGACTGTGGCTGAGAGACTTCTCTATCACAGGCACTGTGCTGGGCTCCTTGGAAGACACACAGACTCCATCCTCAAGTTGTAACCACTGAAGCCCTAACCTCTGAAGTTAATGTTACAGATAAATCTCCTTTATTTGCCAGCTCCCCAGGGAAGGTGGGAGCTACAGGTGACTGAGTTTGCAAACTTGCCTGTCTCTCACAGAAGGAAGGAGACAGTAAGAAACGAAGGCTGCTGAGCTGTCTGTGCAGCATTGCAAGAAGGGAATTCCTTTGAATATGTTAATTAAAAGGATAGCAAATACTACCTATTAAGTATTATGTGCTAAGGGTTTTCAAAGACTATCTTATTTAATCTTTGTAATGTAAAAAGTTGACACCATTATTCTCCCCATTTTATAGATAAGGAAACTGAGGCACAGAGAGATTAAGTGATTTGCCCAAAGTCTCACCATAGTTAAGTGCTAGAGCCAGGATTCAAACCCAAGGACTCTGGTTCCATCTAAAGCACTGAGCTGCATGGCCCAACACAGTCTGATGGGGATTAGAGCAGTCCTGGCCCAAGCGTAAATAAGCATCCAGTTGCAAGGAGCATTCAGGTTAACCCCTAACCTATCCCCACAGGGCACAATGAAATATATACCACTGGTTTTCTCTCACACAAGTACATAACCTTCAGCCCTCTGCTGTCTCCCAGTTCTCCTTCAGAAAAACATGAATGAAACACGAGGAAATACACTTGTCCATGAGGACCTAACTCCCTTCTGCCCATCTAGATTATCACCCCAGCTCCAAGAAGCCCCAGAGCAACGTCTGAGCATGTGCTCTACAAGGCAGTTGTCCATGACTTTGCTCAAAGTAGAGGGCCCAAGAGAATACCTCTCCCTGATTTTTCATGCCTTCCTAAGGCAAGCCTCGTTTTTAACTCATATTGACACTTTCCTCCTGTTATTCATAAGGATTATGATAACATCATAATCCTTCCTCCTAAATATAAGGATTAGGAGGAGGAGTGAATAAAGCCTCACATGCTTCTGGTTTGGGTGCAGGTATGAGCTGTGCAGATCATAAGAGGAGACACATGCAAGAGCTGGGGCATGGGCCGGCTCTGCTGAGCCTCAGCAACCGTGCCCTCCAATCCCAGCGTGCCATGGAGAGCTGGGATGATCGCCCCCACCAAAATGAGCACCAGCCTCTTCTGGTCACATCTGTGTCCTCAGCAGTAGTATATTTGCTGGCCCATAGTAGACCCCTGGGAAATATTTGTTAAATCAATACTGCCTTTTGGGTTTAACGGACTGTCAACATCAAATGGAATATAACATCCAACATCATGATGGAATAGAAGAAAAAGATTTCAACATCAAATAAACTCATTGTAGATCATGCCATGATGAGATCTACTCTATCATTATTCCCATGCCAGACTTTGCCTGTCTCTGACAACGTCGACATGCACAGACATCTTGTTTCCCTGACTCTCTCCTTCTTTTACTTTTGTGGGCAGACACTGCACGTTCTCCCGATTCTGGGTAGAGCAGCACAGTCTGGCATAACTATTGGGTGGCTCTATCTTGGATGGTCCTGTGTTCTGAAGCTTCAACAGAAAAGGGCTCCCCGAGATCCTGGACCAAACGCCTTCCCTGCCCACTCCTCTTCCTTGTCTTACCTGAGACAAAGAGCATCCACAGCAGCCCCCAGAGCCGGGTCTTCCTCATCCCTCCTGTGCACCAACTCCAACTGCTGCTGAGGGCTCCCGGGACAGCTACAAGGCACCACAGTCACCTAGAGGCTCCGGAAAGTTGCACAACAGGATGTGAGGACATTCCTGGGAGGCACTGAGCCTGGGCTCTGTTTCATCACCAGTTGCTGTGACTCCTGACATCAACAAAAGAATCCAGAGACCAGGACTCACTTCTCAGTTAAGTTTCTTCGAACTCCAGTTTTCCTTTCTGTGGTAATAATGACAATTACCTTTCAATCTCACAAAATCTAAGGAAGAATGATACTTGAATGTAAATCAAAGTAAGGCATTAATATTAGGAAGGGGAACAGAGGGCCCTTTGCTCTCCAGAGGCCCCCTCTCCATTCACATCCAGTTTAGTGTAGTGAAGAGAGTCAGGCCCACATAGGGACAGGCGGCAACAATCGTATCTCATCTTCTCATCTTCAGGGTTTTTGTGAGAACATGTTTCTACATCCTGCCCTGCTTAGCCCCGCCGGTTCTCTTGGCTTCTGGTGACCTGGGGTGCACCTCCTCTTCATCACCAGGAGGGCCATACCCTGCATTTGTCCTCAGCATTGCCACAGACATGGCCTGGGAGCTCACAGGGGTGTAGGGACCCCAGAAACAATTTGAGGGGACACTGCCACCACCCAACAAGAACAGACTTAGATTTAAAAAGGAAACTTGGTTCAAGACACTGAAGAAAGAAGAAAAAATCCAGCAGGTTTTGTACTAGAAGCAAGAAAAGACAGATTTGACAGTGTGAAAATCAAATCAGTAATGGAGAGGATTCACTTCAGAAGTATTCCCAAATGTAAAATGAACAAAGACATTTAGAAGAGCTCAGAAATTTAAGCGAGGACAAATCATAGAACTCCAATCTACAAATTAGAGATCCCCTTAAAGCATAAAATGGAATGGTGGATCACAAGAAAGATTAAAAATTTTATCTTAAAAATATGCTTTCCAGGTCTGAGAAGAAATCTAAAATTGGAGGTTGAGAGTTCAACATGGGCAAGGAAAAAATTCATAAAGTGAGACCTAGAATAGGAAGTGTCTAGGTGAAAATTTTTAAATTTAAATAGAAAGACTCCTACTGTTAAACAAAAAAAGTAACTTGGTTTCTTCAAAGGAATCGAAATAATCAGGACTCAGATTTCTTCTCTGAGTAACAAATACCATGAGAGAGTGGGATGAGGTATACAGAATATTATGACCCTAATATTTTACACCCAAATTGATTGCTGCTAAAGCATAGGAACAACTAAAATGTACTATCATACCCGCAAATTAAAACAACAACCAAAAAAATTTTCAAGGTTAACTTTAATTTTTTTAATTAAAACTGTTCAATGTAGCAATTTATAAAATATAGAAAATAAGAAATAAACTTAAATCATGTTATTACACTTTATAGAGATCATTTGTAGTGGAGATTTTACTATGTTTATTTTTTGTTTCACAGATAATGTCGGAAAACAGACTTCAAACATGCTTGAACTGAAATCTGCTGGCCCCTCCTTTTGCTGTAGTCAAGCAGTCCCTAAAAAGGAAAAATAGACAGAAAGGTCTTAACATTTTCTGACTCAGAGAAGAGCCTGTGTGACTTCTGTGGCGATGAGTCAGATTCATACAGTTCATTTCAGTGAATAAATCCCTCTTCTTACAACAAAATTAATATTCCACACTTAAATAATAGCTATACATACTTTCTACATAATGTAGAAATACATACTTTGTACATTTTTGTGTCTTCATATACTTTGTGTGGAGGATTAAGTTCCTGGAAGATTAAGGGGGAGCTTTGAACTAAACAGTCCAAGAAGAATTTCTAATTAGACTTGAATATCACCGGAGGCTGATCGCTCCTTCACATTTTCCTAACTACAGACAGCACCTGCATTTAAATTAGAATGAAGTAGAATGAAGTCTTTCTCCACTTGTCTGATCTATTTGTGTACTTGAGGTCAACAGTGTAAATAGTCATGTGTCACTTAATGACAGATACATTCTGAGAAATGTGTGGTTAGGTGATTTTGTGTTGCGGGAACATCATAGAGTGCACTAGACTATTAACATTAGGAAGGGGAACAGAGGGCACTTTGCTCTCCAGAGGCCCCCTCTCCATTCACATCCAGTTTAAACAATTACCTTTCAACCTCACAAAATCTAAGGGAGAATGATACTTGAACATAAATTAAAGTAAAGCATGTTCCTAGGCTGCAAGCCTGCACAGTATGTTACAGTCCTCAATACTGTAGGCAATTGTAACACAATGGCAAGTATTTGTGTATCTAAACATAGAAGAGGCATAGTAGCAATACGGTATTATGACATTATAATCTTATGGGACCACCACCGTATATGCGGTCTGCCATGGACCAAAACGTCCTTGTGCAGTGCGTGGCAGCATTCTCTAATCCTTACCACTTTATTTTTCTGAGGAGTTTAATGACCCAACCAGTAACTTCTTCAGGCTGAATAGGCATGACGATATTCCTGCCTAACTATTAGGGTCTCTTTAAATTCTCAAGCTACTGCTCCCAACAAGATATTATTTCTTAAGGCTTGTCATAGAAGAGCATTGTGATTTGTGACCTATGGTTCCTGTTCATTTTACTAAGGCTAGGTCACATGTCCCATTTCCATGCTTGCTCATAGGGTGGCCTCTACCACCAGGAAGATTTAGTCTTTGGGTACCATGAACCTTTTTGTATTTGTCAAACTCTATCTTCAGAGCTATTATGAAATTAATACAGTTTCGAAATTGATACAATTAATGAAATAATACCAATATTATTCTGTTTTGTTTTGTCTTTAATAAGTCACTGCCCCAAGTCAGTAGGTCTCAATCTTCACTATGGGGTAAATTAGCAGTTTCTTCCTTAATAAAGATTGGTTAATCTAACCTAGCTAGAATATATGTGTAACATTTTTTAACAGTGAGATTGCATATACAATATCTTCTTTTCTGGCTCAGAGGAGGGGCCCACATGGAACTGGAACACAGATCTCTGAGGATAGTGTGACCCTGGTGCTGATGTCTCTGAGGACGCTCAATGAGACTACTTCTGAGAGTGGGGAAAACTGCAAACTGGAACCAGTCACTGTTGCCCGTGAAAAGCATCACTGAGGCTACTCACAATGGAAGGGGATGAAACAGGAATCAGTGAGCGTGTCCTGTCTTCCTCCTCCAGCCTCCCAGTCTCCCTCTAGTGCCCCTACTGAGAGTCCAACAGGGAACCAGCCAGCAAAGACAAAGTGAGTTTCAGAATCTCCACTCAAACCAAGGTAAAGAAGTGTTAATCAGAGAGACAATGACTGAATAACCAGCTCACTCACACAGTCAATAAACAAGGGCACCTCAATTGTGGGACAGGAATCTTTGACAAGCCGTGCTAACAGTGACTATGTTACAGGAAAGGGGTCGGATCTCACACAAGAAAGAATCCAGGGCAGGTCCACACAGTAAAGTGAAAGTAAGTTTACTAAAAAAGTAAAGGAATAAAGAATGGCTACTCCATAGACAGAGCAGCCCCAAGGGCTGCTGCTTGGCCACTTTTATGGTTACTTCTTGATTATATACCGAACAAGGGGTGGATTATTCATGCCTCCTCCTTTTAGACCACATGGAGTAATTTCCTGACTTTGCCATAGCATTTCAAAACTGTCATGGTGCTGGTGGGAGGATGACCAGGGGTCACTCTTGTTACCATCTCAGTTTTGGTGGGTCTGGGCCAGCTTCTTTACTGCAGCCTGTTTTATGAGCAAGGTCTTTATGACCTGTATCTTGTGCTGACCTCCTATCTCATCCTGTGACTTAGAATGCCTTAACCATCTGGGAATGCAACCCAGTAGGTCCCAGCCTCATTTTACCCACCTCCTATTCAAGATGCAGCTGCTCTGGTTCACACGCCTCTGACATTTCGCCCCTCCCTTTTATAAGAGAACCCTTAATCCTAAGGGTTTCAAAGGGATGAAGATCCGTTTTCTGTAACTTCTTCAGGCTGAATAGGGGTGATGATATTCCTGCCTAACTATTAGGGTCTCTTGTATTCAGTGCAGGGAGGAGCTCAGTCAGAAAGCATCAGTATGCTGAGGGCCATTCATTACTCTTGAGTTCTGACAAAAGTTGATATCTGGAAGATTAGTAAATGTTCAGTTTAAGAAAACATTCAGTAAGCTTATCCTGCATTCCTACACAAAGAGTAAAACAGCAATATATTCCACAACAGTAAAGCAAAATAAGTAAAATTATCCCAAGTAAACTAAATTAGAAGGCTTTCCATGAACTGGGCAACTGTTAAAACCAAGCTGATATAGGGTTGTTAGCCAATTCCAATATGTGCTCAGAATTTAAATATTGATCCAGATTTTTGTATTACCCCTTTTGTATTACTCTTCCAGCAAAGAGTGCAAAGCAGATTATTTCAAAGAGAATAGCAGTTAATATCCCATAGTGCTAAATTCGTTCTTAGCCACAAAGGACCTTACCAAGAAGGACTTTACCAACAGGGACCTCTAACCCCCTAAATCTTAGAAGGGACTCTAACCCTCGTAAGTCGGGTCTCTAACCCAGCTGGTCAAGCATTCTTGTCTTTTATTAAGAGGGGGCTCCAACCCACTATGCCTTAGGAGAGACTCTAACTCCTTTAAATTGAGCCTCTAACCCAATCCCATTCTTTACCCAGGTATATGCACCCCACTTACCCAAAGTCCGCCAATCAGTGCTGCAGTCTATTTCCTTTGCATCAGGGGTCTCCTCAGTACCATGCCTTCTGTGGTTCACCAGAAAGATGTTACAGAAACATCCTCAGATGTTTTTAAATTTTTTTTCCTAAATGAAGTCCTTTTAATTTTCAGACCAACCAAACATTTTTAATATAAAAACATTTTAATAATATACAAGCAGCAATCACAATGGCATCCACGTGGAAGCAAAGGGACTCGGGCACAGATGGGGAGGCGGACTACGGAGGGATGGTTTTCAGGGTCCCAGTTGCTTTCCTTGCCTGAAATCACTCTGGTCTTAGCAGAGGGAAGATTAA